AATTAACTTGAATTACCATAAATATGTTTTTAAGTACAATTGATGTAGATAGTATCTGATGTAAACGAATAGGAATGTATTTTACGTGTTTAAATGTCAATGTCATTCAGAAAGTGGTCAAATGGAATACATGTTGTATTGGGGATTATAACTACCAGTTTTCCGACTTATTTATCGTGGTGTTTGTGGAGGCTGTGTGGGCTAGACAGCTGACTTTGTGTGCTGGCGATTAGTGTGGAAAAACAGCCCTACATTAATCACCTCATGCATTACCTGTTGTTTGTACTCGGGACAGTAGGTTGTTGATACTGCACGTTTCATTTAATATACATTTTCCAGTTAATGTTTTATTGATTTAAGATATGAGTTATCATACTAGAAGTTGTAATTACTGTCATACATATATCAAGGCCTTTGTACACTTAGCAACATTGTGTTATTTTGTGAATACCGGGTTTATTAAGTGATTTTACGACAGCTTTCATGGACGTTATCGCATGGACGCAATAGATCGCTTTCAGGATTTCAGGTGAGGTGAAATTGGGTTTTACGTCGTGCTTGAAAATATTTCGCTCATATGACGACGTGCATGCATGTGTATGTGTATGTGTATGTGTATGTGTATGTGCGGCTGCTTGTACTAGCTCAGACTGAAGCTGGTTTTATAGTGCTAGCCCACTGAGATACCATGCCGCAGTGAAGCATGAATACCCCATTCAGACACATTATACTGACTCCGAGCCGACTAGTCCTTGTTGTACCCATTAATGCCGTTGTACCCATAAATTTTCTCTCAAGAGGGAAGGACATTTACAGATTGCGATATGAAGCACACAGAGGTAAATGCATACATAGCGTACACCGGTATTAACACTGACACACAATACATTAGTTATAAAAGGTTGATCGGGCACACGCCTTTGAAAGACGTCACAAACAGAACCATTCACTTACACGGCTAATGGCCCTACACTAGGATATAGGATAAGCATGCACATCTAATATTACGGCAAATATTACAACAATAACTATCAAACATTTATGTTGAACTTTGTAAACCGTTTTTAACTTTCAACTACGAGTTCCTTTGTTCCGCTTCGGTGGCTTTGAATGGTCTTGCTGGACTTCCTCATCGATAACATTTATGCATAGTTTTGTGGGTTTGTGGTAAAAGTTTCTTTGTGTGGGGTTTTGCAATCATAAATCAATAAAATTCAACTGTGTTAAAAACTTTTTTGGTCACACCACTATCCCATACGAAAACATTCAATGATCGATGGCACATCTGTACCCAAATGTGGTGGCTAGATATAGTAGATTTCTATCTTCAACGGTTTATAACAATTTATACAAAATGAAGGCAAATGTTACATGAAGTGATAAAAGCAATGCTGAAAGGGGGCCTTCCTCATTGATACCGTGTGTGTTATATTTAGGACTTAGACATTTACACTACTGAGAGTAGACAACCACAGAGTTCTACCAGTTGTGGTCCTCCTCGACCTATCTGGTTCTTCATGCGTATGAATCGGAATCTCTGCCATCTTGGCATGATGAAAACAGGGCATTTTTGCCAGGAAGTTTAACCTAAGCTTCAGGTGTATCAATGATCTGGTATTGGTCAGTAAATATGAATTCCTTCAACTGATTCACGCACCTGTATTGAAATAAAGGAGGACGTTTGAGACCTCTTCTTACATTTTGTATTTCGATTTATAAATCAGGATTCCTAATTGACAAAATCTTCTAGATAATCTTCTTATCTTCTAGGTTGTATAACGAAAGTGATGATTCAATTTTCTATTGAAGTCGAACAATATTTCAACAGTTTCAGCCTTTGGTGTTTACGTTTCACAACTTGGGGCAGAATCGAGCATGCCGAATTTTATAGAAAGATTTCAAAGTTACAAATCTTGCTCAGAAGTTGTTCGATTCTGCCCTTTTTAGGGTTTTCTTGTAGATGTTGAAAGGGTTCTTTTGCTTTTATATACAATTCCTTTAAACAAAAATGAGGCGCATACATTATATGAGATATACCCTGGCTTATCATGGGTTGTCCAAGATGGCCCACGTAAGGAGATTCCTGATGCAGTATATAAGAAGACACACAGCTTGATGAGATACTCCTTGATGCTGAGACACAGATGTCATTGATATTGACTATCTTAGATGGAGCTGAAAACGGTATCTTGCAAAATGATGAGTTTGGTTGCAGTGTTGTGAGGTTTGATTCACCCAGAGTCTGAACATTCCAGCTTTCACTTTTGTTTAATCAATATCAACATTTACAAAGAAACATGATCAGATGTATGGTAGGGATCCGTGTTAAATATTCGACTCGTTGTAGAGAAATGAGTTTTCAATCAATGTAATGATGATACCATTTCATAAATTGTAAGTGTAACTGTAAGTCTTAGTAAGTTGGTCATGATTGGTAGGTAGGTAGGTAGGTAGGTAGGTAGGTAGGTAGGAAGGTAGGTACAGGCGAAGGTCATATCGGCAATATTTCAGCCATATCGTGACTAAAACTAGTTCTAAATTCATAAAACATACATACACTATATAAAAACCTGTCAACGAAGGACAGTTAAATTACTAGATTATCACAAAAGGAGTTAAAACCAGCTGCCAGATATCTTTGAACAATTTTTGGACAATACAATGTAAACATGGGCTATTGATCGCCAACAACTGAAGGTAGATCACCATACTAGGGACACGTGGGTAGGTGGGAGGGTGGGTAGGTATGCATGTAGGTAGATGGGTTGGGTGGCAGGGAGGAACAGGTGGGTTAGGTTAGTGGTGTGTCCTGGGGGAACTGGGTTGGGTATACCCAGGTGAGGCAGAGATATGGTATGTGTAGCCTGGAGACTGCTTGAATTGTACACAGTATGGAGAATCAGTGGTGTGTGTCCTGGAGACTGTAGACCAGGGTGGACAGGGAAACAGGGTGTAGGAGAATCTACAGGTGTGTAGACCAGTCAGGTGTGTGTAGTGTGTGTCCTGAGACTATTGACCAGGTTGTAGGTAAAAGAGGTGATCCAAGATGTACAGGTGTGATACAGGTGAGGGAGATCCAGTCAGTGGTGTGTGTCCTGGAGACAGGAGACAGGTGTAGACCAGTCAGGTGTGTGTCCTGGTGACTGTAGGAGACAGGTGTGATACAGGTGAGGAGAGTCAGTGGTGATCCAGTGGCAGTGGTGTGTGTACAGGTGAGCTGATCCAGTCAGTGGTGATGTGTCCTGTAGACCAGGGTGGCAGGGAGACAGGTGTGATACAGGTGAGGAGATCCAGTTAGTGGTGTGTGTCCTGGAGACTGTAGACCTGGGTGGCAGGGAGACAGGTGTGATACAGGTGAGGAGATCCATTCAGTAGTGTGTCCTGGAGACTGTAGAACAGGGTGGCAGGGAGACAGGTGTGATACAGGTGAGGAGATCCAGTCAGTGTGTGTGTCCTGGAGACTGTAGACCAGGGTGGCAGGGAGACAGGTGTGATACAGGTGAGGAGATCCAGTCAGTGGTGTGTGTCCTGGAGACTGTAGACCAGGGTGGCAGGGAGACAGGTGTGATACAGGTGAGGAGATCCAGTCAGTGGTGTGTGTCCTGGAGACTGTAGACCAGGGTGGCAGGGAGACAGGTGTGATACAGGTGAGGTGATCCAGTCAGTGGTGTGTCCTGGAGACTGTAGACCAGGGTGGCTGGGAGACAGGTGTGATAAAGGTTGCATCGACAGTTTCTGTTACCTGATACCCCGTGTCACCCCTTTTAAGTATGTACCTAAATGCAATGACTGGAGTGATGTGGTCAGTGCGTCGCTTGCGTGTAATCAATCTTGCAGCAGAATTGTGTACTCTTTGCAGACGTGATAGAATCTTTTTAGGGAGGTTGACAAGAAGAGAGTTACAGTAGTCGAGGCGGCTGATGATTTGTGTCGATCGAGTAAATACAGACAAAAGAGGGATATCTCCACTGCATGAAATGTTAGTTACAGTAACTCAGATTTACAGTGAATAAGGTGAGTGAGTTAAATTTGTACATCGCATCGACAATATTACAGCCAAATAGCAATGAAAACAAGGTAATCATTTTAAAATATCTGTCGACAAAGGAAGTAAAACCAACTCGACTATCACAGATATAGAAAAAACAATTAAATCTATAACTATATACTTAAAACTAGTAATTAAATCCATACTAAACCATGGGGGCTTACAGTACTTTCCTACCTGCATGGACACCGGGAATAAGGAAAGTAAACCGCTGAGTATTCTTTAACTATAGAGGACGATACAATATAAAAACAGGCCATAGAACAACTGAAGGCAGATCACCATACTAGGGACCATGGGGGCTTACAGTACCTGTCCTACCTGCATGGCGTGTTCATTTCATACTGCACACACAGAGGAATATTTGTATGAAAAGAGCACGAACAAATGAATCCCTATATTTTTCGCAGTTGCTAAAGGTTGAACGTGATATATAGGACATACAACAAACTACATCATTTCAATGTGGCACAGATAATCAATATCCGTGAAGACTCGTTTTACACCTTTTGTTGTAGCTGACTGTTGTAGCTGACTGGTGTATCCCAAAAGCGTACATTTATTACACTGACGCTCTGCCCTCTAGATAAATTGAACTGAACATATTTTACTGAATGAAAAAGAAAACTGACTTAAACCTATCAGTATAGAAATGTCAGATTTAATGTGATGTATTCTATTTGTATTTCCGTTTTCTTTAATCTATATGAGTATTGAAAACAATAGTTTTTGCAAACACTTCTTAAAGTAGTTTTGTACGGCATTTACAACCAATGTCGTGCAGAATAAATGAGTATTGCCTTCACCGTGTACATACAAATAACAACATTTTAAGTTGGATCAAATGGCGTCTCTCCTGGGATAACTCGCAAAACACGCCTATTGGTAGGCGTAACAATTTATGTGTGGCAATGAATTGACTTGATAATATACCGTGTGAGGGTGACACGGTTTGCACCTGTTTAGATGCAGGCGTTATGCGACCTAGTCCCGGTGTATATCACTTCCTTGTTGTCCAACATGGCGGGTGTGAGGACACTGCTTCTGTGGGCGGTGGTGACAGAGTGTTGGATACTGTTTATACTGGGTGAGTTTACCCCACTGCCTCTGTACTGATTCAATCTTTCTGTTACCATGGTTTGTGTATATATGTATTCTATACAACATCACTGTCACTATTTTAAGTGAACAAATTTATAAAGAATGTTCCTATTTTCTTCCTCCATTGATATTTACAACCATTTTCGGTCAGCTGATCTGACAAAGCTCTACGGTAGGAACGATTTAATGAAAATTATCCATGCATTATCGATTAAAATTTTGATATATTGAAATAATGGAATGTACTTACATGGGTTACAAAATACAAGACTTCAACAAAATTGAAAGTGTGTTAAGGATAGACGATAGAAACTCAGTGTGTATTTCCAGCTTTATATGGATTACAGAGAGCCCTGAAAGCGCTTTTTTTATATACAGCTATGACGCATCAGCATTATAATTATTTATGTGACGCAATACGAATAATAGTAAGGACGCGGTGTTGAAGTAAATTGTTTAAACTTGGTTAGGGATGCCAAACTTCATATTGCCTTTCAAATTATCTGTTACGTACCCTTTCAATACCTGTCATGATTATAGATTCTTTAAAATGTTGTTGATACTCGGAAATAATTTCCAAATTTCCAAAAATGTGATCGATATTAAATTGTAGTAATAGTTGCATGATAGTAATGAACGAATTGGAAAAACCACCTACACCCGGTTGTGAAGAATGACAGTAGATGTCATGATCGCCAACAATCTTGAAGGACGTCAGTGTTAAGGTGGTAAAACGACGTGAGGTTAATGGATCTGTTGTTCATTCAATTCTAAAGGCATACCGCTTTAAATTCGATTTTAAAGCAGTCTGACCCATTCCTCAGTCACTCAAAATTCAACCAAAGAGGTGATGAAGCATGAAGACGATTTCTGAACATGATGATATTTTGAATCAGTTTTATTTGCCTGATCTTTGGAAGAGCCTGATTTCCAATCCGTACTACTCTCGATGGCGAAGGACGGTCTGGACGGGGTCGATCATCAACAATTTTGGTTTGCTGGTACCTGTTCCAGATGTCCATAGAAACATTGAACATACAGGCCCCTGCAAGCTGTCATCTGACTTTACTGACTTCCGCCAGCTTCCATCATGCCAATAGCCCGAAGACTCTAGTTCATACACACATAATAAACTCAGTGATAATCAGCGTCAATTAGATTGACATAAAATGTGGTTCACAAACATTTGTCGACCTCTGTGTGTCACTAAATTTATGTGAGGAGTTAGCGTTATATTTGGTCATTTGGGAAAAATGGAGAGAAACCTGCTGTGTTCTCATTTAAGAGCTACATATCAATCAATCAATCAATCATACAATCAAGCTTTATTTAATACTGAAAAGCCTCAGGTCTATAGTACAATATATATTAGTATAATAAAGAACAGTTTTATAAATGATATTGGTAATATGTTCTATACAATTATGACGTTCAGACGATGTTCTGTGATTATTCTTTTCTGAGTTTCATAGTGTGACATATAATCATAGGAACATTATAAGTAATATCATGATTGTTACAGTTTGATAAAGAATACAATATATAGATCTATAGATGGATGGACATAATAAAATTCTTTAAGGTACTTTCTATGTAGTTTATCATATAATGGACATACGAGCAAACAATGGTGTTGATTTTCTAAGACATTAATATTACATGATTTACATAATCTATCTTCTCTTTTTTATCATCTGCATAAATCTACCTTTTTCAATCCACAAATGATGTGATGAGCAGCGAAAACGTGCTAAGCTTACTCTATTTTTTTATCGTGATACATGAAAGATTAATACTCAGTATAAATTCATGGTTTAAAATATACAAATTAATCATATTTAGTCGAAAAGGAAAGTTTTTCAAGCCAGTTTTGTTGGTATATAGATCTTTTAATCTTTGCGTAAATAAACTAATAAACGTTGAGGGAAACTCAACATACTGCTCCCACCACATGTGAGAGTTTACCTCAACTGACAATTTGAGGCACTGCAGCTAAAAATATACGGATTTCCCTGCAAAAAAAATGTGTCATTACAATCCCTCCTCCGGTATCGCTGATAAAACAGTAATGATAAAGATAATCAGTATTCCTTCAATGGAATATAAACTCGCCATTGCCCGTCATAAATGACAAACAGTATCACTTTTTATAATGTCTCCATTGTTGTTATTATACGCTAGTTGTTGGTTTGCAGAATGCCGAGTTTGAATAAATAATTCGTGAACATTGATTTTCAGTGATCCATTCACATATTTTTCATTTTTACTTTCCTTTGTACGCCCCTTTGAATGCGTTTCGACGAAAAAAAATCTGTTATCTCAGTTGTACCATACGTCCTCGAATTATTTCAGGTGGACAACTGACTAGACTTTGCATATGTTTTTGACCGGTGAACCTTTTCGCGAACACCTGGTATCATCGCTATCTCATAGTGACACATGCTCTGTCATCTTATAGCACGGTGACAATCACTGGATTGTCCGGTCCAGACTCAATTTGTTTACAAGCAACATCATGCAGGGATGATGGTATGAATAATAAAAATGAGTCTGCCCAGAGTCGGTCATTTGAGGAGAAGCTTTCTGAGAAACCATTGCATCGTGTGTACATGCAGTGTGTGGAACAGAACAGCAATCCCACCGACTCCTTCGCCTGGATGAAGTCGGCTGGTCTTAAATGTGAAACTGAGGGCTTTCTTTGTGCTGCTCAAGACCAGTAGCTTCCCACTCGCAATCGCCAAAATGTGATTCTTAAAGAAAATATTAATATGAAATGTCGATTGTGCAATGAATTTACAGAGACTGTCCAACACCTTGTCAGTGGATGCCCTTCCTTGGCACAAACAGCATACCTTAAGCGACATGATGACATGGCTCGTTGTTTCAACTATCGTCTTTGCCATGCCTGTGGCTTTTACTCTGAGGTCCATCCATGGTACGACCCTGAACATGTACAGGGCGTCATGGAAAATGATGCTTTCAAACTTCTGTGGAATAGGCCCATATACAGCCTGAGAAGAATTCCTGATCGTGTTCTTTTTGATAAAGCCAATGAATTTATTTATATCATTGAATTTTATGTCCCTTTTGACAGCAACGTAATTGGCAAGATTCAGGAAAAGCATTCTAAATATGCAGACCTCGCCTTTGAAATGTCTCGCTTGCATCCCAAGTGAACACTCGTCAGGCGCCCCATTGTTCTCGGTGCCCTTGGTTTGGTACCTCCTGAACTCTTGGCGCAGATCAGGAGAGTGCCCGGGTTCTCCACTGGGAGCACAGCCCTTCTTACACTCTGAGTAATGCAGAAGGCTGCAGTGTTGGGGAGTCTACATATTCTCCGGAAAAATCTTGGTGGGTTCGAATAGGCAGTGTTTCCTGGGAGAAATCCCATTCGCTGTCTGGACTGCGTGTAGAGGGGGCAAGGGCCTTGAGCTAATGATGAGCCTTACCAGCCTGACTTTGCCAGGATCACCCGAACCCTCTCTGATGCATACTATTTTTAATCTGTAAAGCATAATAATAATAAAAAATCAAATTAAAAACCAACGAAAAACAACACCAACATCATACAGCTGTAATACTGCTGAAACAAATATCTGCTCATGTTATTGTCACAATTGTACAATCGACTCTGCCTTTGGCAGAGATTTCTCATGAACGTGGAAAGGGTTTTGCCGCTTCTATTTAACACATCATGGTTATTATCTAGTCTTATTGAATAGATATTGAGGAGATACCGTGGAAGAATCTGGTCATAAAATGAATATATAACATTGTCAGTACGTATTTATGAACGTGGAGGTTCCGGCAAACGGTGAATAAATATGATCAATAATAAGGCTGTCGGTGACATGTTTGGTTGAATGTCATCGTGTGTTGGAGACATATCAAAACCTTATTGATTTGCAAGTATGATGTGTACGGTAAACAACGTTTGTATATATTTAACGCGAACTGACGTACATGTCTATGCAGAAATTGGTTTTGAGTTTAACTAGTTACGGTTGTAACGAAATAAAATAGTGGTCTCTTTGAGTTCGGTATAACCGTTGTCACCTAGTATATTTAGTCAAGAACTACATATGTAAGTAAGAATTTATCATTAAACAAGTCAAAGATATTTTTCTGGAAAAAATGGTACTTTCATGAATAAGGATTAAAAGTATTCGAAAACACAAAATTTCAGCTACGTTGCTCAAGACAAACACTAAACACATTCTGCTTGATTTCATGACAATAAGGTCTAAATACAGGAATCATGACTTAATTCAACTTATTTCTAACAACTAGTAGTTGGTAGCATTATTTACATTTTTGTTAGCTCAAAAATTGTTTCCTGGATTTGAACAAACATCAAAGCCTCACTACAGTTTTGATCATTGTAAGTTCAACTTATTTGCTGTTAAACCCTCAAAATGTTATTGCACAAGCTAAAGAAACAAAGGTCCTTGAAAGAAAAAAGCTTTCGTTGTGGATTCAGTCAACGATGTCGTCAGAGCATTTTGCATGACGTGAACTTAAATCATCTCATCGATCAGAACTGTATCTCTTTGTTATCAGTCGGAGAGATACTAAAACTTCTCAGGAAAGAACAATGCAACTCTCCACGAAACACAGTGGAAGCATCAAGTTACATCTGTACAAATGCTATAAGACTGCGTTTGGAACAGAAACATACATGTTGCGCTCTCTGACACACCTATATAGCACTAGGCGTTATAAATTAGTTGAATTAAGGTAAAATAAGTTGAATTGTGTATCGTGATTCTTGTAGGCACACCACATTCCTTTATTTAAAATCCAGGACACGTGGGTTTGGAGCAGGGGAAATATTCTCACCTGTGGGTCAACTGTCTCCCTTCGTAAATAATCTCCCAAATGGCAAACGAGACGACCGAGAAAGTGTTGGAAAGATTATGTCTGAATTATGCAATCAAGGAACCAGATCATCACAGATAAAAAGAAAAGTTTACATATTGAAAGTGGAGATAGAATTGAGCACACATGGGGAGCAGGGAGAAATACTTATTGTTCACCACTCCAAAAAACAAACAAACAACAACACAGAATAGTAAAAACGACCTTTAAAATGGTTCTTGGAGCATAGAAAATCAATATTTGACAATGTTACATTTTCAGATCAAAGCCCAGTGCATTCTCTACCCACAGAGGTTACTTGTCATATCTTCCTACGAACCTCTGTTCTAATACGGCCATATTTCCCGGTTCTCGTAAAATCCCCTAGCGGCAAAAGATTGCAAAACGAATTATCTCCCTTCTTTCTATCCAATCAGAACACGTGTCACATCGACTTAGATTCAACTTGACTAACACAAGCAAATGTGGGGCCACAAATATCCCCCATCTGCCGGGGACTTGTGTTGATGTTACACACAAGACGTTTAATGGCTAGCTTGTCCGTTGTCAACGAGGGCGATGGAGACGCCACTGATCCGCCATAACATGACTGAGTTCTGTCTAGAAGAAACGTTTGCGCATCGCGCAGGGGAAGAGGTTTAGTTTTCTCGAAGCATACGGAAATTACCGAGGCCTTGCGAATGATCACTTTTGAAACAACGTCGCTGATTGCACAACTAAATCTGGTTGCCTCCAATCACCAGTCTTGAACGCTCACACCATGAAAGGGCCGTATTAGAACAGAGGTTACGTAGGAAGATATGACAGGAGTAACCTCTGTGGGAAGAGAATGAGCCCAGTGTGGCTACATATAAACTGCATATAAAGTTTCACATATACATGAGTATAAATCAAGCATCATCCACTTCAATTTATATCAGTACCAAAAACACTAAAACCCCACCAAAACTACACTGGTAACTGTAACATATATAAGCAAAAAACACCACAAAGTGGTAACCGTAAGACAGTTTACTCTGACTGAGACAAAAAACAAAACTGAAATTTGGTAATAATTTACTTGCACCCTGAGAGGAATATACGAAAAGATAAATATCAATATTGTAGGAGAGTATGGTCACGATGAATACGTCACCAATCTGAATCTGACATAGTTCTTAATAGCGATTGTTGTGATTTTATAAATCACCACTAGCGACTACGTAAGTACCCGAGAACCAGTCCCGCCACCCCTTGATAACATCTGCAAGTCTCTTCCTCATACCAGCAGTCAGCCGTCGATTCTCACCACCGCGACTCCATTGAGCGCCTGCGACAATTCATGCTGATTTTGAACAATAGGGACACTAACTCGAACTCGAAGGTTATTTTTTAGCACTGTCATCTTTTAAATCAGTTCAGAAACCCAAATGTCCTTGGCGTCATAGGAATACTTGAACATGTAGCCCATAGCTTTGAGACATAGAGTAAAACATGTGTTTTACGTGTACATTCCAATATGCAATGTATGGTCGCTTGCTGTTATGTTGCTTTAGGTAAGTAGTCTTTGGTTGGCAATCCTACCTACCAAAAACAGCTGCTGGAAAATAATTCGTCAAATTGATTGTGATCTTAACTACTAACACTTCTCCTGTCAGGGTCCTGTCCAGCAGGGAAGTTTGGCGATTCTTGTAGCTACAGCTGCCACTGTGGACAGTCCTGTAACCAGACAACTGGAATTTGTGGAGGTGGTTGTGATAAAGGCTGGGTTGGAGGACATGGAGGAAGCTGTCAAAAGGGTATGGTGTTTCGATATTTGGATAAAACTAGAAACAGTACTCTAAGAATTTTTACTTCTAAACTGGCCAAAAGTGTTTTGATTGTGATTTACAAGTATACCATCGTGTACATGTTGCTATGACAACACAGATACCGTACCCAGTGCAACGTTGCCAGCGCCTCACATCCCTAGCCCAACATGGACGATTCAGTCGATGTTGACAGTTTCTGTGATAACATCTGCGACATTATCACTCCGCTGTTGATAGACTTACCCTTCAACAGGTATTCCACTGACAATCTCAGTCTCAATCATACATGCACTTGCGATTCAACAAAATATTCCACTCACCGCACCATAAAGGCTATACATGGTGTTTTGGCAACATATATATACTATTTGTGACGTATAAGTCACAACCAAAACACGTTTCAAATTATTTACTGTGGAAAATCACACCAAAGCAGCAGGTGTGTATTTTCTTTTTGTACATTGTTGCTTTTCACGATTTCAAAGAACCGACACAACTTTAACGACTGCTCCTATACCCATGCGACCAAAGGTTATAGACAGGTTTTATTTGCATGATATAGCGTGGTTGATATTTGAAAAAGTGAATAAGGATAATGGACATATTAAAATAACATCATGTTTGGAACTGTCGGGTTGTTATGGCCATATGGGTGACATTTGGACGCCGGGTCGGCCTCGGGGGAGACAACATTCAAAAATCAACAGTATTCAACACATTGTCAAAGGTTTTGCTGATACTGAATATATGTCAGGTGTACTAAGTTGTGAACAATTGAATATTACAATTACATTTAAAAAACATTATGGATATATTAAAATGAACATACATCTTGTTTTAGGGTGACATTTATCATTATTGGTAGTTGGGTACTTTTTGTGAACATTCGATCATGTGATGTATCTTTTCAAACAGAAAACATTGCCTACAAGAAACGTGCTACATCTTCTGGGATCTATAAGTCTGGCTGGACTGCAGACAAAGCTGTAGATGGGAACTGGGACCAGGAAGTAAACCACAACTCCTGCTACCACTCTTCTAAACCTCCAAGTGTGTGGACAGTGGACCTGGGACAGCAGTACAGGATACACGATGTCAAGATATACAACCGGGATGGATGTATGTATCCTTTTCAACATATCATATTTACATTAGCAAACTGTTAATTAAGTGAAGCTTACAAAACATGATTTAAGTAGCTACCCTGTTCTGTCATCAAAGAATTGACTGATAATACCACCAGTTGAATATGCAAACTCTATGAATTAACATTACGGAATCTGACATGTTTTCATTGAGGAATGAATACGTTGTCACTGGGTCTTAAGACCAGTCTAGTCACGATCTACTGCCCGCAACATTCCCTCTCCATCAACTGTCAATCTTCCGTCGCCGTTCGGCAAACTCCGCCGGTCGTCGTTGGTGATTGTATTCATCGTTGGAGAATTGGTGACATGGATTTCCAATATCTAACTGTATATTCACACACTTTTATCATGTATGCATTTAATATGTCATAGATCTCATATATATTTACCACCTAATTCATGTATTTACAATGTTTTGTAAATTTCATTTTTAATCCTTTACAGGATGCTCAGCGATTTTAGGGGTATTATCATCTTCCGTAATAGTCCGGGTTTTTCTTATGTTAAGAAACCCACTTTTCTTTACCAGGCCGATCTAAAGGGCAGGTTGTTCCTCTGACGTATGTGGGTTAAAACCCTTGTCCAAATCTTATGTCGTAACGGCCCACTGTGCTAATGAGTGGTTAGTAAATAGTAATGGGGTAGTTTCTCTCGGATACCGACTTTCGTTGGTGATAATTGTTTTATTGACATTCAAGAAGCTTATGAGTAAATAATTAAGCATATGACTTTATGGATAGCTTTTTGCTTTTAAGGTGTGATATGTAGGCTGATATCAAGCTGAAATAGTTATGGTCAGATGTATGCAATGATCTAACTAAGCATCGTTTATATTATCATAACGCTAGTCAAGAGTTTTATCTTCTGTGAGAGAAATTTCATAGATTACATTATCAAATTCTCAAAATATATTTATTTGATTGTGACGTTGTGAATTAGTTCCCAAGTGTTCTTGTCATTTCAGCCTGGGGGAACACAAATAATAAAACGTTTTTATCGTGGTAAAATATTTACCACGAGAAAAACGTTTTATCATGTGTGTTCAGTATAATAGTAACTGCCATGCCTATACCCTCCACTGAACCTGAATAGAAACACTGTAATACAATTACAGCACTGTTTTACAATCAGTAACAATGTACATACAGACACCTCCTCAGAAGTTCAAGTCTGGCGTTACAGGATCAAATTCGATGTCTTAGAACAGTTAAATTGTAATCGCTTATAAAAAGTGATGTTTCCTACATCAACAACGTCAATCGTTCACAACGTTGTGCAATCGTATGTCAGTGTTCACCATGCTGTGTGCTGTTACCTCTGGACACTACCCTGTGAATAATTTGTTATAAAAAGCATCGTGTGACGAAAACACGATTTAGTCCGTTTTTCATAATTGTTCTCAAAATCATACATGTTCGGTAATAACTATAATGCTAAATGTGTAATGATGATGATTTGCCTATTGATGCAGCTCCACCTTCTAGAATCGTACATCGATAATTATTTCAGATGTTGACTTAATCCGATCCGCTGTCCTCTCTCTGAGTAACTCCAGCAGCTCCACATCTGGCGTACCTTGCTACACCTTCCCCAGCAACACTATAAAAGGCAACTCTGTGTACGATGTCATCTGTGATGGAAGGGGACGATACTTCACCATCACACACTGGACAGACCTTCTAAATATCTGTGAAGTGGAGATCTATGGTATGGGCGGATTGGTTTGTCTTTATTCACCTTTACAAACCAAATCTATGACAACAGCCCTCTTTCAAATGATCCGTAAATTCTCCCAAGATGATAATTGTTTGTCATTTACTTTTGATAACAATATCTTGAAACAACTGTTGTAGACATAACAAAGGATTTGTTTATCCTTGTGCACAACTTTTCTTTACTCTTTTTATCACCGCAGTGTTGCTCCTTGTGCTTTTTGGCGTCTTCGTCGTTGTCGTCGGTTCAAGCTAAAACATGAAAGATTTCCTACTAATTTCACAGATTTACCACCCAGAAACATTCCCCAAGTTACTGAATTATTTGTTTTTTCATAAAATACATTTTCTTTGGCTTTAGTTGCGACAAACAGACATTACACACACTCGTGTAATGGCACATGTTTAAGTAAGAAACAAAAAGATTAATAGGTTCAAGTTTTTAAGAATAGAAAAGAAGGAGAACAGACAACAACCGAAATCCCTACTCATTCAAAACCCCCAAACATGAGGATACTGTTCACATGTAACAGTAACACACACACACCACACAAATAAAACCCACAAAAAACCCCACAAAAAAACAACAAACAAAACAAAGCATGACACTGTTTTAGGCTAACCCACGTGTGTTCCTAACCTGGACATTTAAGGCTTGATTTAACAGGTTTATGTATATTATGTAACTTTATGTTGCTTACACTACCCATCAAAAGTTTAGACTCACTTAAAGCACTCACTATATCTTATATACTGAACTGCAAAGGAAACGCCCACCGATAGAGGTTTCTTAAACCACACACTTTAATTCGCTCTAATTAACATTCTACCATGGCTACGTGAAATGCTCGAATTTGATTGGTCAATCAATAAAATCAGACGGTATCAATTTGGATTGAAAATGCGTCTGATTTCACGGCGCTTCACTGCGCACGTATACAACACTGTCGCACTACTTCAGCTTGGCCACCATCATGACTAATATCAACACAACAGACGTGATGGAAATGCTGATGAAACATTTATTAAAACTCGAAAAATACAATTATACGATTTTTCCTCCACAATTATTAGGGAACCTCACTATCATAATTATTACCTTCTATTATAAAAATATTCAAACTCAATTACAATACACAGCCCCAAACATAAACAAACAATACCTAACATATAAATCAGAAAACCTTGTAAAAATACATCCCTATCTATCCCTATTTGTGCGGCAAAACGTTCGTTAACATTTACCTACCTGTTTATTGGTATATTTGTTTCCGTTTAGAATGAGAAATTTGCACGATAACGGTCAGGCGAAACACAAAATATTGGCCACTCATACTCCATCATGTCCCGTTGCATCGTTCAAAATGTCAAACGAGAATTCCGCTCTCTGCCACCTTCCCCGCAAGGCTGTCAGTGCTATATTCGTACACTTTGAAAAGCTTGGCCACAATCCAGTCCCAAATGATGAGAACAATGTTCCAAGGAATCCCAAATTAGTCGCATGTACACAAAGCAGCACTGTCTGTCACTCTTTCGTCGCATGCCGGGGTGGAGGCACGTACGTGAAATCATGATCGACACTCGCCTGTCATAAAAATTCACAGTCTTTGATGAGTTACAGGTCATAGGTCCATCAGTAAAAGATGTATTCTTCGATTCTGCAGGGTTCAGGTTCGACAGTCAGTCAAGTCTTTTCCACTGTCACTTCGAATTTCAACCTGTCGCAAAATGTAAACACTGGCTCGTCCGCCATTTCAAACTGTTGCGTAACTGTCTACTTCCAAGAAAATATGTAGGTCAGACGATTCCATTATAGTGTGGCCAGGGGGGTACAGTAACACGGGACACAAAACAATAGGCTGGTTTCGGTCGTGTGGAGTTATGATTATAAAAACCAAGCTCTTAGGTGTTACATTTTTGCATTGAATAAACAGTAGTTTGTTCTCTTTGGACAGAATATTTTTTATGTTGCAATGTTAAAAAAAATACGAACGCGTTCGGCTTCAAATGAAATTTAGAGACTATCAATTCGGTCTAACATTCATCTAATTTCCAAACACAGTACGTTTATCTCCTAAATCAAAACGGAGGATTGCGTTCAAACTTGACAACTATCATGGTTAACACATTTTCGGGAATCACATTTAGAGTTCACACAAACAAATTCACCAAAAATGGCACCACTAAGATATCTCAAAGTCAGTATCGTGTTAGCCTCCATGGGCATCGATGACGGCGTTGCGTCGTCTGTACATGGAATGAATTTGCCGGTTGATGAAGGCCATAGGCACTTGGGTCCGTACTGTGCGAAATGCCTGATCGAGTCCAGCCGGAGATATCGGCCTTGGTTGGAGGTCATTCAGTCTTCTTTGAATCTCGTCCCAAAAGGTGTTCTATTGGACTTAAATCCGGACTGAGTACAGGCCTTTGTAGGGTTTGGATGCCATGTTGTCTTAGGAAGTCCAGTGTTGCTCTGGCAGTGTGGGCACGAGCGTTGTCTTGATGGAAGATATGATTTCTGTGACGTACAAAATGTAGTTCAACTTGGGGTCTTATGACTTGGTCAATATAGCGAGCAGCTGTCGCGCCATTTCTTCATCCTGAACCGTGATTCTGGAAACCCACGGGGCCAACTCTCTGGTTCAGACAGATTGCACCCCACACCATGATGCTTGGACCACCCCGTGAGTCTCTTTCAACAATACACGCCTTGGAAAACCATTCCCCATGCCTTCGCCATACTCTCACTCTGCCTGCCATTGGCTGTCGAAACACAATATCGGCTTTCATCAGAAACAAGCACAGTTCTCCATTGTCGATAACGACAATTTCGATGCTGAGTTGCCCATTACAGTCGGTCTGTGACAGCAGATGTTTCTTTCGCGCAAATGTCGACCCACTGTATCGGCACTAATGGTAATGCTCTGGCGAGTTGTTTTCGTGGCTCTGGCGAAGCGATCCTGCAGATGGTTGCGCACAATCTGTCGGTCTTGAGGTTGTGATGTTATTGCAGGTCTTGGATGCTGTTAGTGATCTGATACCGCTCCTGCGGTCGGTAGATTGTCCTGACATGAATATTGAAATGATTGGCTACCCTCCGTGCAGCCTGGTCAACTGGCAATCGTCTCAAGGCTTGGTTCCTCTCATCTCTCGTAAGTCGTGGTATGGCGATTGTGTCAACACAAGAATGATTTCAGGCGAGTTTGGGACTTGCATTCATTGGTAGGGTTGTCACGATCTGCACGTGCATTCTATTTTCACGAATGTCATGCGGGACCTTTTACCAAATCTGTCTTTTTAGGTACGTTAGGTCGATATGCTATATCATCAGAAAACACACACAGATGTTAGTAATAACTGTCAATTTGGATTGAAAAACATGTTAACAAAACGGTACAATCCTAATAAAACAACACCTTGTAAGAACAAAATCTTGCATTTGGTTTTGAAAGTCGCGTTTCTTTTGGGGATCAGTATATATATGGTTACATTGAAGATGAATTTCTCCATTAACTTGGGGGAACCAACTGCAAACCTTATGCAGATGAATTGCACGAGGATCATTTATCAAATTACTGAAAAGCATGTGCAAATATCGTGCATGTGAACAGCTGCGTTTTGGTCTAAAGTTTTGTTAAGAAATTCGCCAATTAGACATCATACACATACATCATAACGGTCAACTCGTGCAAAAACAAAATTTAACTTTATTTTATTAACCTGCATTTCCCATCGACAAAAATTTGTCTCCCAATTTTTCGAATTCGCAACAGCGCCATTTGCACTTCTAGATGCCTTCATGTCTACTGAAATGTGGATTGTGAGACATAACTTGCAGTCGAACACCAACTTTGAGTGACCGGGCACTGAGCTGGTGCCTTTTCTAGCGAGCGGGAACCGGACGATATTAATCCAGACATCGACCGGCGCCTGTTCGGGAACCGAACGATTTGGTTTACATCGGAAGGATACAGTCCGGGTATCAGGAGTTGACCGGCCGATTCCCGCCAGATGACCCGTCAGTCACTTGACGATTTTAGCCTTCCAAAATACTTATAATAGCCTGCCAGCCTCCTTTTAGTGACTGGAAGGGTATCTTCTGATCATCCTTGGTTTTGTGACGACTGCACGAACCGATGTGACACTGATGTGGCAAAAATCTGTCGCATGCAGTAACATCGGTGAAACCCACTTTTGAAACATTAGGTAGATAGGTGATCTTGGCATTGAGCTGGGCCTTAACATCTTACTGTAACATGCTTTATCGACCTAAGGACCACTTTCTTCCAAAATACCTTCTGCTTGAGTAATTCCCTGGCCCGTGTTACTGTGTAATTCATGACAAAAAGTACATCAAAGCTGGTCAATATTATGGTTTATGAAAGTAGTACATGTGCATACTGGCTAGTTCGTCCATATAAACACGTAACAGGAACAGTGACAAGTCTCGTGTTAATATGTGTTTGGGTTTGGGTTTTACATGTGCCCAGTATTGGCTGTATTCTTACAGAATGTTCTAATGGGACCTATGGACAAAACTGCAGCAAGCGATGTACTGACAGGAACTGTGCAGGAAACTCACCATGTGATCATGTGACAGGATCATGTGTGCCCGGATGTAAAGTAGGGTGGATGGGTACAGACTGTGTGGAGGGTAAGGGTTTAAACCATACTCACTTATATGGTAGTCTGAAGGTGCAAAATGACCCATTGCTGAATACACAGCTTACTGTAATCCCATGTACACTGCTGACAGAGGCAGAGTTGAAACCTAGCCATTTTATACTCATTTTTATTATATACTACTTTGTTGAACATGCGTTGATACCACCGTGTCATGAATTGATGAGATTAACTCGTTGCCTCATGTGCAAGATGATTGAAACCATACTGAAATCGTAAGATATTACGTTGCCTTTCGTTTACAGAGTGCGATCAAGACCATTACGGACTCAACTGTAACGACAAGTGTGGCAACAGGAACTGTGCTACTGATACATCGTCATGTGACCGGCGGACTGGGTCGTGTGTCACCGGGTGTCTCCCTGGATGGACAAAAGTGGACTGTACACAGGGTATGATCATAAAACCTACAAATCGCTGAATCAAGATATGCTTGACAGTTGCATATTTGCACACGGCTGTCTTGTTACCTATACCAATGTGTAACATTGTTTCAGAATCTCCACTTAAGCTGGGCCTAAACGTCTTCCTGTAACATGCTTTATTATCACAAGGGCCACTCCAAAATACCTTTGGCTTGTGTAATTCCCTAACCTGTGTTACTGTGTAATTCATGACAAAAGGTATATCAATGCTGGTCTTTTACAGAATGTTCCTCACGGACCTATGGACAAAACTGCAGCAAGCGATGTACTGACAGGAACTGTGCAGGGAACTCGCCATGTGACCACGTGACAGGATCATGTGTGCACGGATGTAAATCCGGGTGGATGGGTATAGACTGTGTAGAGGGTGAGGGCTTAAAGCATGCTCACTTATATGGTAGTCTGAAGGTGCATAGGGACTGTTCCCATTGCTAAATACACATGTAACTGTAATCCCATGTACACCGCTGACAGTAGTTGTCGCTGCAGAGGCGGAGTTGAAACTTAGCCATTTTATACTCATTTTTATTATATACTACTTTGTTGAACATGCGTTGATACCACCGTGTCATGAATTGATGAGATTAACTCGTTGCCTCATGTGCAAGATGATTGAAACCATACTGAAATCGTAAGATATTACGTTGCCTTTCGTTTACAGAGTGCGATCAAGACCATTACGGACTCAACTGTAACGACAAGTGTGGCAACAGGAACTGTGCTACTGATACATCGTCATGTGACCGGCGGACTGGGTCGTGTGTCACCGGGTGTCTCCCTGGATGGACAAAAGTGGACTGTACACAGGGTATGATCATAAAACCTACAAATCGCTGAATCAAGATATGCTTGACAGTTGCATATTTGCACACGGCTGTCTTGTTACCTATACCAATGTGTAACATTGTTTCAGAATCTCCACTTAAGCTGGGCCTAAACCCTAGGGGATACAAATACATAAATCACTAACTGGCATCGTTATAAATGAAACCCCGTCATTAAAACTACTCATTTCGACCTTTAATTGACTTAAATCGACAGTGCACAATTCTCACCCGCGAACGAAATTTCAACCAATCAGAGCGGCGCGTCTCTGTGACGTCATATGAGGAATAGCTTTGAGGGCCGATGCAGAATTCATCTACAATTTAGGGGGTAAATTATCTTGTTTACAGGCTTGTATATACCTGAAATCGTGACAATTGTTGTGGAAAATGAAAGCTATATGTTCTCAAAATCTACTGTCATTTAATTTTGTCTCCTGCTTTGCCTAGTTTCCGAGTTACAACTTGTTTTCATAGACGATTCTGTCAAAATCGATTGGTGTCGTTAGGCCCTATTTGTATAATGACTGATCCAAATTGATCCCATTTCTGTGTTTTTTTACCTCGATATTTAATCATGTCATGTAAAAATCTGTTTGTATTCGCAAAACAGTGTCGGCCCATAAGTTTTCACGTGCAATACAGCAATTAATACTCCCTTGTTGTAACCCGTGTTAGGTAGTATAAACCTTCACATATGTTATTTGTCATCATTCACTTGATGGTCAGTTAATGAATTTATAACAGGTATAATTAGTGGTAACACACTTAGATTACCCGACAAAGGTTCCCATTTGGCATTTCTTGTGTCTGGAGTAAATATTCAACATTATAAACATCGATCAAAGGATTAACCGATAACACGCTGATTGATTAATTACTTTTATCTTATACAGCGGAATTGTCAAAAGGTATTGTTTATGTCTGTAGATTTACTAATCTATACTGAATACACTCTGTCGTGTCGGTGTCTGCGTAAAAACAACGTCCTTCTTTCAAAGGATTAACCGCCAATACATTGATTGATTGCCCATTATTGGCTAACTAATTTACTGTTTTTAAAGAAAGGCGGACATTATGCAATTACTTGCCAGGTGTGCTATCTTGGGTGACCAATGAGACTATACACCAATACCTGAAAAGATTTATCACTTTTTCCTATATCAAACTGTTAAAAGACACATCATTTGGAACAGTTTTGAGGATATTGATGGATACATTCCTCGAACAAGGCAATGGCCTGATATTGTTCTTATAACTTTAATCTGTTTTAATTTTAATATTTGCATGTTGTTTTTATTCATTTATCGTAGCATTCAACAGAATCAATGTTTTCGCCGTGAAGTGTAATGAGACAGACAACATACACTAGGGTGTGTGTACGAATTATGATTCACATTGGCAAACTATAAAATGTCTAGATATTACAGTTCTGTTATAAATTCACTATAAGTATCAGCAGATCGTCTGCTTTTTATTTAGTTTCAAAATGCATACAAGTATGATAATAAACTAATTAGGATTATAAGACCAAATATAAAGACGCACATTGACTAGTATCTACATACTGGTGAGTGGACATTAACCATGTGAATGTAGCAAGAAATTTATCGCGCAGTATTGTGACTTCGACCCCCACCACCTCGCTTCCGTGGAAGAAATCGTTATGTTATAAGTTGTGTCATGCAAAATCCGTTTGGTTATGATTCCAATACATATTTAACTACGAGTAGAAAGTAGTTTTGATTTTCTAACTTGATGAAAACAAACTATAATCTCATTAATTCTAACAGACTTTACGATTTTCAAAAATGGCGGCGCCCTGTTGGGAACATCCGCCAGTCTGAGGATAAATGCTATTTAGGTTTGTTTTCACCGAGTTACAAAATCAAAACTACTTTCTACTGGTAGTAAAATATGTATTTTATTGATGGCCAATAGGATTTTGCATGACATAGCGTATAACATAACAATTTCTCTCCTGGCAGCGAGGTGGGTGTCAATATAATACTACTTACAATATTATTGTTACTTCGACCACAACCTCACTTCCGAGGAAGAAATCGTTATGTCACAAGTTGTGTCATGGAAAATCTTTATGGTCATCAATCATAAACATATTTTACTACAACTAGTAAGTAGTTTTGATTCTTTAACTTCCGTGAAGCGATCTGAACACAAGTAAGATATCGTTTCAGGCTTCCACAACGCTCGCTTCGCACTCACAAACATAACCCATTTAGCACGAACTGCGGGGTCCTGTGGAAATCTGTGCATGGTGACACCATCGCCCGACCCCTAGGAGCAATTGACGACAAAGCAACGATTCGGCATGTCGTCGTTGATGTCGAGAAATCATCAAAATGATGAGCGTGCTACACACTTTCTATACAACTAACTGAAAATCGTTCCTCATATGACGTCACTGCAGTGCTCTGGCGACAGAGTTACGTAACCTGTCTGTGGTTTCGTTGGCGGGCGAGAGGGAAGCAGGCGACTTTTTGGCCACTTTTAATCGCTCGGTATTAATTAACCACAAGTTTTAAAGAATAAATTTGGTGTTCCGCATAAGACTAACCACAAATCTTTCATATGCAATGGTTAAAAGAGTAACAAAACAAAGTTTATTGCTGGTCTTTTACAGAATGTTCCTCACGGACCTATGGACAAAACTGCAGCAAGCGATGTACTGACAGGAACTGTGCAGGGAACTCGTCATGTGACCACGTGACAGGATCATGTGTGCACGGATGTAAATCCGGGTGGATGGGTATAGACTGTGTGGAGGGTGAGGGCTTAAAGACATGTCCCTGAAGCTGAAGACACACGTTACTTTGAGTTGGCGCATATTATTGACATTGGCAACACGATTAGACAAGTACTCTCTGTCATTTTGAATATTTTGTTTTAATCATAGTATACTATTTTACCGAATAGGCTTTGATATCTCTGTTCATCAATTACTGAGAATCACCGTCCACTGAAACCACACTGAAATCGTAAAATATTACGATGCCTTTCGTTTACAGAGTGTGATGAAGACCATTATGGAGTCAACTGTAACGGGACGTGTGGCAACAGGAACTGTGCTACTGAAAAATCGTCATGTGACCGGCGGACTGGGTCATGTGACACCGGGTGTCTCCCTGGATGGACAAAGGTGGACTGTAAAGAAGGTACACAATAGCAAGAAGACTATAACAAAATATTCCATTGCGTTGCTTCTTCACATAGATACATTCTACATAGGGTTACACGTGTAGCATGTCTCCATATCCCCATGTCAATATTTGAAAATTTCATTCTATTTATGGCACTCTCATTTTAGTCTTGAGGAGATGTAACATTGACTGGTGATTGAACCTAAGCTAAAACACAATAGCATGCTTTATTATCACCAGGACTATCTTATTCTAAGTTACATGCTAATGTACTTCATTGACCACTGGATCTGATCGTGGGTATTATGAAAGTAGTACATGTACATGTTGTCTAGTTCGTCGATATAAACACGTAACAGGCACAGTGACAAGTCCAGTGTTAATATCTGGGAAGGTTTTACATGTGCCGAGTATTGCCTGTATTTTTTCAGAATGTTCCCGAGGGACCTATGGACAAAACTGCAGCAAGCAATGTACTGAGAGGAACTGTGCAGGGAACTCGTCATGTGATCATGTGACAGGATCATGTGTCCCCGGATGTAAAACAGGATGGATGGGTATAGACTGTGTGGAGGGTGAGTCCTGAATTAGTTCTTACCTCTTTGAAATGCATCATTGGTACCAATTCTAAACAATGATGCTTTGACATTTATACATGTTGCAGCTTGCGAACACGATCTGTATGGTCCAAACTGTACCAAGACTTGCGCCTCCAGACACTGTATGGGGAACTCTTCCTGTAACTCAACAGGGGGATGTGACACTGGGTGTGAGGAAAGGTGGACAGGGACTGACTGCACAGGTAACGGCGTTTGTTAAATTGCATCGTTTATAGTGGTTAGTTTACTGGTGATGCTGACATAAGACGTAACTTCGTGACCAGGTTTACCAGAACGGGGGTGGTCAGGCTCGCTGACTTGGTTGACACATGTCATCGGTTCCCAATTGCGCGGATCGATGCTCATGCTGTTGATCACTGGATTGTCTGGTCCAGACTCGATTATTTACAGACCGCCGCCATACAGCTGGAATATTGCTGAGTGCGGCGTAAAACTAAACTCACTACCAGAACGGACACGGTAGTAAACACTATAATATCCCTTAGTAGCCACATGTGAAAGAAGAGTATGGCAGGATACAGGTCGCAGACGGGTGTTGGACGGGGTGGGCACTTAACGATCTTCAGGTTATGATGCTGTCTGTCAGCAAAAGATGCCAGCAAAAGATGCCCGATCTTTCAGGCAGTTGATATAATCCACCTTCAATACTAAGTGGAGCATCTTCCTTGGCAGCATGCGACAGTCAACGTTATGGATCAAACTGCACCAAGAACTGCACCTCCAGACACTGTGCGGGTGATTCATCCTGTAATTCTAAAGGGGACTGTGACAGCGGTTGTCAGACAGGGTGGATGGAGTCAGACTGTACAGGTATACTCTTTTGTTTTGTGAGGGTCTTCCAGGCAGTGAACAACACTAACAAGAGGCAAGAGGTTTCTCTTATACTAGATAATGTATCATGAGTTGTGTCTGTGATAAAATAACCACATAGAAATCCAAACTATCTCCGTTGCTACACATATATCATCATTCCAAATGTCAAAAAGCAAAAGTCAAACAGCAAAACAACCCAAACAAAACGAAACAAAACAAAAACAAACAAAGTGTCCTCTGGAAATGATTTCAAAAAACGAAAACAACTTTATGTTAAGATGTGTCACTAATATCACACTCCACTTGTGACCCTCTCGTGCCCCTCTGGAATGACGTTCCCAGGTCACGCCAAGAAACGCCAGACTAAAAATATCAACGAGGAAGTGAAATGTATTCACGGTAAAATCCTAAGATTTAAGGATTTAAAATCTCCAATGCAAACCCGCAAGTGTCGTCAAAGGACTCAACTGAGAACTCAACTGTGAGGGTCTTCTCTTTCATCCTGAGCACAATGAACTGAACTACAGTCATTGATGGGAAACATGACAGCCGTTATATGAACGAACGCACGTGTGTGTATTTAAATTTCTCAATCTTTGAATTTAGGCCACACGATTCTGTTAGCTATGTTCTTTGTAATGTCAAATTGACGATAGATATTCACTTTTATTAAGCAATGACATAATAGCACAAGCGATTTAAGTACTTTACAGGGCAAGTGGTGGCGAATATGATAAAATTATATTCATGCATTTTTAGTTCTTGAAATAACTTTTTATTCGTTTTGAAAATGTTACTTTATTCAGCAGTGCCTAACGGTCCTTAATAGCAATATAGTTAGAAATACCCAGCTTGCTTTCTGCATGTATTCCTATTTCCTGTACGTGCCCTTTTGTTGGTGTTTTAAAATGCATTGTAAAGTGGATTTTTTATCGAACTGAAACGTATTTCTTGAGTATTCTTTCATTTATCAATGAAAGCGGAAGTGTTTCAAGAGGCCGTGTCATCTGATCCCACCATCTCTATACCAACATATGCTGGAGTGGTGGGTGTTGTGCTGGTTGGCCTTGTGCTGGTTCTCATCTTTGTCTTCATCAGGTTAGTACCATCAATAACATGTGGAAAATATATCGTTGTTTAATCTGTCGAAGTAGCCCAATAAAGACGTTATCCATTATGTATGAATACCCTATGGAAAATAATGCTTGAGATGCCATTTTCATTGCACAGACGAAGGAAACTCTCGAAAAGGAAGCATGGCGATGCTGAACTGGTCTCAAAGACTGTGCAGAGCTCTCAAGATGAAGGTAGATCAGATGATCATATCCTTGTTTTTAACGGTTCAGGTTAAAAAAATGAAAAATGAACTACAAAAGTAGGTTTAAACCGTGCTCCTAAGTTCTTAAATCAAATAATGTTATTACTATGTAATAGCTCTTTTTTTAAAACAATGCAGGCAATGTCTACATGAATGTTGGACGTAATGAAGAGAAGCAGTCCGCAATAGCTTCAAAGAAGAGGCTAACACAGGTTCAACCTGAATCCCCACAGGAGGAGGAGAAGGAAGAGGAGGAGGAGGAGGAGCCGGAAGAGGAGGAGAAGAAGAAAGAGGAGCCGGAAGAGGAGGAACAAGAAGAGACCTATGACACAACAACACAGCGAGAGGAAGCAGCGGAAATCCCTGACAGAAACTACTACAACCTAGAGGAGGCTGGCATTGGTCGTGTGATCCCTATTTCTACATTACAAGCAAGAGCTCAAGAATTTGAAGAAACACCTGAACTTGCAGAAGATGAATTTAAGGTTATATTTGCTTATTAACGTCAAATACAAATTAACTATAAAAATTGAAACATGAAAATAACGAATTACAGTAAATTCTTCTTTCACAGCGTCTACCGGATGGCTTCATTCATCCTTACGTGGAATCACAGATGCCAAAGAACAACGGGAAGAACAGATTCAAAGGATATTTCCCATGTAAGCTGAATCACGAAACGAGTTGGTAGCTGCTTTTTAATTACCCATACTTAAACTGTAAATCGATATGAAATTTATGCTTATGGTTAATACTCTGCATCCACAGATGACTACAACCGTGTTTTGCTACAGGATGGCGATGGTGGTGGAGATTACATCAACGCCAGCTACGTGGATGTGAGTTAAATGAAGCAAAACATAATTGATATTCATTGTGGAAAAGTATAATGTATCAGTTATATCTGAAGAGGAGTAATGTAGTCAACGTATAGTGATAGTGGGAGAGTAAATTGGGTCTAAACCTGTTTGGTCATGATTTTGAGGTAGTCTGAAACTGATCGCCCTTGTACAATTAGGTACCTTTTCAGTTTTGTTTGTGAACCGGGTGCAAAAGCGATCCAAGTGTATTACATATCTGATTTTGTCATGGCAACTGTTTTAAGTATTAGTACACATTTCGGACCAAAATTAGTTCAAGTGTTACAAGGAAACTTTCAAAATTAGTCATGTGCTTCACCATCCATGTTTTCATTCAGGGCTACAAGAAGGACAAGCGCTATATAGCAGCACAAGGTAACCCCTACATTATTGCAACCTTGCAATGATCAGCACTACGCTAATAATGTACTGCAATGTAAATTTACTGCGCTGTCAAGGTACGGCACTGTCAATCTACGGAATTATCAAAGACGGCGATGTCAATGCACTGCTCTCTCAGCATATTGCAACTGTCAATGTATTCCTGTCGATACACTGTGATGTCAATGTACGGAACTGTCGGTATGCAGCATATCACTGCACTGCCAAAGTATTTCTCTGACAATGTACTGTCATGTCAATGCACCGCACTGTCAATGTACTGTCATGTCAATTTACTGTCTTGTCAATGTGCTATCATGTCAATGTACTGTCATGTCAATGTACTGTTACTGTTATGTCAATTTACCGCACTGTCAATGTAATATCATGTAAATGTACTGTCATGTCAATGTACTGTCATATCAGTGTACTGTCATGTCAATGCACCGCGCTGTCAATACACCGCACTGTCAATGTACTGTCATGTCAATGCACCGCGCTGTCAATGCACTTAACTGTCAATGTACTGTCATGTCAATGTACTGTCATGTCAATGTACTGTCATGTCAATGTAATACACTGTCACTGAAACGCCCTGTTGATGAACAGTGGAATGAGCTGGAATATTGCCGGGTGTGGCGTTAACCAACAAACAAACTTATTATAGATAAAAGAAACCTTCTTTTTAAAGACAAAAGGCGATTTTCAGAACGCTTCAAATTTGATTTTTTTAAACGAAACTTGAGGTACTGATCGTTCATTCGCTTAGTATTTCAATAAATACCTTCAGTGTGAATATTTTGTACAAATCACTTTTAACATCAAGCAATTTTACCTTCTGAAAACTAATGTATTCTCCAGGTCCCTACAACAATCAAGTGGTAGTCGACTTCTGGAGAATGATCTGGGAGAAGGAATGCAGAACTGTTGTCATGGTAACCGGGCTCGTTGAGGCGGGCAAGGTAACTATATTTGGTGACATTGTATAAATGTAAGAAGGATCCGACCGTTATGTACTTGCATACATAATGTAATTGCTCAACTAACGATAGGTAGAACTGTTATTTTGTCTTTCTGTTTTAGGTGAAGTGTCTTCGATACTGGCCTGAGAAAGGTACCAAAAAGTACGGAGATGTAATGGTTACAATGGTATCGGAAACACGGCTATCGAACTACACATTTACAAACCTGTCTGTGGAGAATGCAAAGGTGATATACCGCGTTTATTCACACATGCACAAACATACAGTACAACCAGAAATTATTGCGAATTTAAAGATTGTAATTTTTTATATTTTTTTCGCCTCATTACTCACGTATTAAATGTGAATATTAGCAGAACATAACTCCAGATTCAAAGACAGGTGAACAGTTAGTATTTTGTCAAGTCACCATGGGCAGCAATGCAGGCTTCAATGCGGCGGGGCATACTACTGATCAAAGAAGTTACAAAGTTGTGGTCCATGCTGTCCCAATATCGGACCACCTCTTCTTTCATTTCAGCAATATTTGTCAGATTTTTCTTATTGATACTTTCCTTCATAAGTCCCCAAACATTTTCTATTAGATTTAGGTCAGGGCTACAGCTTGGCCAATCCAGGCCTGTGAATGCTTTGAACGATGTTTTGGGTCGTTGTCCTGCTGGAAAATCCAAATATTTTCATAGAACACGTGAACAGATGGAAGTAGATGTCCCTCGAGAATATCTGTTCACTGTTCATATTCCCTTCAAATACACAGAGGGGCGTTGCCCCTAACACAGATATGCCACCCCACACGCTAAATTTCGGACTGTACTTTGGGCCCTGATACAAAGGTTTTTCAGTTTGTTTGGTCCAGAATTTCAGTGTATTAGGAAACAGCCACACAGAACTTTAATCTGAGAAAATCACATTGTCCCAGTTAAAATTTCTATGCTGTAAGCACCAGTTCAACCTTCGCTCCTTTTGTTCAGGTTTCATGATCGGTGATGGAATTCCTCGACTTTTCTGCCAACCCATTGCATGCAGCTCAGTTCTAATTGTCTCCTTATAGACATCCACAGTTCCTCTATCAATCATATCCAGCCTTAAGTTTTCTAAACTCCAAAATACCATAAACAGTGGACAAAGGGATGCCTCTTGTACGTGAAATCACTTTAGCTGAACTGATGTCCTTGTTATAATACTCTTAAATCAACTTCCTCTTTTCTAAATCCTCCATACTGAGGATCACTGAAAATGTCGTCTGCTAGCTAGTAAACAAAGGGGGATAACTCTTCACAAACTAATTAAAAATGATTAACGGAGTTGTCTCTCTTGAATGAAACGACGCACTTGATAGCTGGTCAAGGTTGTTTATACTAGAAATCCAATTAAACATATTCCTAAAATTCTCAATAATTTCTGGTCATACTATGCATCCATACCTATCGGTGGATTTGTTCAGTTCTGCTACAGTAATGAACACTCGTTCAGTCGTGTGTCATGAAAATATTTGTTATGACCAGGAAAGGAAGAAATGGGACGTCAGCCACCTCCACTTCACCAGCTGGCCAGACCATGGCGTGCCGGACACTGCTGCCCTGCTGGACTTCATGTGGAGGGTCAAGGTCATATCGGGACAACAAACTCAGCCGATCATAGTCCACTGCAGGCACATTACCACTTTTTCATCTTTTGAACTTTTAGAACGAATCCAAGAAACCATTACCTGAACTGAGAGGCGACGATATGGATAATCATTTGTAGACGGCCACCACATTGATGAACCATTGCTGAGTGCACCGTTAAACATTTGTACAAGAACAATCTTTCCATCTACATTATAGTCTTCATATTTCAGTTTCTGATCAGTTTTTGTCTTCATGTAAAACTTGGTCATGACGAGGAGAAATTCCAAGCTAAAGTTTAAACAAACCTTCAATTACATTGCTTTCAGAAACATGCGTGTCAACATGAAGCAGATAAATATTTCATGAAAGGCTATACTTACTTCTCCCTTCAGTGCTGGAATAGGGAGGACAGGAACGTACATCGCAGTCGAGAATCTCGTGGAGCAGGCAAAGGCAGAGGACGTTGTGGACGTCGTCAGCTTCGTCTCCAACATGAGAGGGCAAAGGAAGAACATGATACAGACAAAGGTATTTCAGATTGGTAAACTCACAGAGCATTGTGCAAATACATTCGGCAGTGCTAAAATTGTCCATGAAAAGGGGAGTACCAGTGGATATGTCTTGTCTATGCCTGTGTGTCTTTGTGTGTGTGCAGGAGCAGTACATGTTCGTGTACCATGCGGTGGCGAGGGCGGTGACAGACGGTGACACGTCAGTGGACGTTGACGACATCAGACAGATGGATCTTGGCTGCGTGTCTGATATCACCTTTGGGAACAGGACTGTGCGACAACATCTGGAGGTGTGTATGTTGATATTAACAGATGTGGAAAGGGAGAGGGAGCGTGAGTGAGTGAGTTGCGTCACCTCGACAATACTGCAGCCATATAGTGACAGTGACAGAGAGAATGGTGCATGTTGTGAATGAGCAGGAAAACTATAGCACTATCACCATTATTCTACATTTTCGGTGTAAATGAGTTTAGTTTTACGCCGCTTTTGGCAATATTACGGCAGTATCACCTCGTGGGACACCAGAAATAGGCTTCACACATTTTACCCATGCATGTGGAGAATCGAACCCGGTCTTCGGTGTGACGAGCCACTTGGCTACCCCCACCGTCCCTACAATTTTGGGAAATACATTGTCGGATATATCATGGCAAAATACAAAACTGCCCAAAACTCTCGAAAGCAAACTGTTGATCTTTCTGCGTCTATTGTTCAAACATTTGGAGTTGTTGTAGAAGTTGCTTTCAAAACATACGTTTATCTCATCAAGTCACCTGACAAAATGGGTGCTTTCATGACTGACGTAAATATGTATCAATTTGTGAAAAAAGACAAATGTTCTGTTCCATTACCTGTTTTCTTACTGAGTGTGTGTTACTTTGAAAATGTGTGGTGCAATAAGGTCAGATTATATCTTTTAAAGCATATGGTGCTTGTGTCTGCTCGAATGAAATCTTGATTTTATATTTTCAAAAATGCATTGTATTTCATCACTGGATGTATGATAATTATTATTTTATTACAGGCGTTGAGGAATGTACAGCGAGGTGAGTACACGTCAGACCAATGATCGCTATTGTATATTGGCTTCCTTACGGGACCACAGAGCACCTCCAACAACATTCATTAATCATAAGAACTATCTGCAGAAAGCATATGGATTATGCAATTCCTTAAAACTGGTGGTAAATCAGCAGAGCCATGTGGACTGATGTATATGTCAACATTGCCCTGTTTTCCGTATTGTTATAAATCGACGTCACTTTGTGTCGACCCGTTGATATTTACGCTGATCTGGACTTGTGGGTAGTAGGTAGATATAATAATAATCCCATCAGTCACAAACTGGGATCTTCATCATTAGTTATTTAAAATCAAGATATCTAAGGTTTTCTGTTCATTTTTAGGAAACCCAGAGAGCTTCGGCGTCAGATGCGTTCACGTGAGTGGGAAGTTGCTCGCTTTAAATGTATATTTATATGTTGAGTTAAGTTTATATTCATATGTCTCAGTTGCCAAATTCCTAATGTTGAATAATATACACATAAAAGGAGGAATGAATTCATTATTAGTTTTCCTATTCTTTTCCTACAGTCCTACACAAAGAGCAATGGCTTCTTCATAATGACGTCACATCCGGACAAAGAGGACGTGTGGAATCAGGTTTACAACAGTGACTCAAACAGCCTGATAACATTTGCTGTCGGTGATCTGGTTGGTTTTACTCTCTGATACCAGCTTAGATAAACATTTCAGACGAGATCAGTGAAAGAACAAGTTGGATTAATGTTATTGAATAATGTCACTGTTACATCACTGTGTTTCAGATGTAAATAATAAAGGATACAGCTTAATGGATAACAACTTGTTGTTTATTGCACAGAGCGACGTTTCGGTGTAGGTTTTTCAAGCAATTTCGTCGCTCTGTGCAATAAACAAGTAGTTGTTATCCCTAAACTTGTATTCTATATTATTTACTCAACAACTTCTAGAATGCCGATCAAACAATTAGTTTCAGAAGTAGTTAAAGGATATGTCGATGAACTGTGTCGCATAGCAATAGGAAAGAGTTTAACGTTAACTTGTATAATTGTATTTTGGGTGATTTAAAAAAGTTAGACCGAAAATGAATCAGGAACCAAATAAAAAATGCATGGTCAAAAGTTTCAATAGCTCGACATATTTATCCTGTTTCTAGACATATCTACCATCCGTTGATCATCCCATTACAACCAAGAGCTTTGCAGTGAACATGCGCAGGTCAGCAGTCTTGTCCAATGGCATTCTGATGAATACAATTGACATCAATTTACTGGTAAGTGTGTGAAAAGATATTGTTGTGTAAGTTACATGACTTGATCATGGATTATTCGTTGGTAATTTAGTTAAGGAACTTTATTAAGTGAATACTTAGGTTTTTCCACTGAACAAGTCTGGGTGATCATTATTCCAGGACTGTGACGATACCACCTGCATACAGCACTATCACATCGCAGGAAGTGCACGGGACCCGAATATCAACTTGATGATTGACAGTTTCCTTACATGGACCAGTGATCCACAGCGAAGTTCCAGCACTATTATCTCTGAGTAAGTGCATCTGCTCCAATCTCCCGTTAAATACGACAAAATATTATCGCATTTACAGTTACTTACAAATACTATATACAGATCTATGTGGTTAAATTGCCCAACTTTATCTAATATGGATCTATCCTTGTATTTGATTATTGAAAAATTGTATGGAAAACCCATTTTGTGCAAATAAACGTGTGAATGTGGAGAAGATATTCTTACACTTGGATAACGTAATGTCATCATAATTGCGGTCGTCAAAATTCTTACCGCTGTCCAGTTCAAATAGGCAACACTAAAAGCATATCCAGATGCACCCAGAACAAATGTCCACAGAGTCGTTTTTGTCCTTAGAAGTGTTTTCTTGGCCCAGTTCTTTGACTGACTGTCGTCTTCTGGTGCTCTTGGTGAACATTGCCAGCAGACTGCAAGACGACGGTAGAGTGGACGTCATCAACAACATGCGACAGCTCTACACACGTCTTGGAGGTCCGCCATATACTGAGGTAGCTAATGTCCCAGTACAAACAGTGCACAACTGTCTACAAAGTTCACTCATTAACATGTGTAGATAGTAGAATGTGTGCTGTTTTCTTGAAAAGAAATTGTCCTTCATTGTCTTGCTTGTCCTGGATGCATGTATATTTTCATTATGTCCAAAACATGTATTAGGTCTGATTCAACTGCTTAAACGTTAATGTAAAAATCTAATTACATTAGCATAGTTTATGCATGTGGATTACTTAAAATTGCCATTACGTCAGTATATGTTTTTAACGATTCCATCGACGCAGAATATATATAACCCAAATCAAATTATCACTGATGGTATTGTTAGTACGTTGGTCATTCTGACAGCACGTTGTACAGCAAAAACTTCAAGTACAACATCGAGGTAAAAACGGTTAACGACTTCAAAACGAAAAAAATTGTCACTGAGCAGTAGTCATCAATCAAAGTTGTGTCGAATAGGCACTTGAATACATTCATTGATAGCTGCAGAAATGAGGTCATTGAACCACATGACCAATACGAAAATCTAGGGGAAAATGTTGAAGTGACAACGTGATTGTTTACGTACATAAATGTCTCGGGCTTTTTCACATTATAGAGTCCCAGGATTATCGTTATACGGAGTAATGACTGGCAAAACATACGTCAGTTCTGGAATACAATCTCCTTTCGTTGTCCTGTCTAATTAAGAACTGATTGTTACTGGTACCTTTACAATGAATCCGATTAAGAAAGTATTTTAAGTAAAAACGGGACACCACAGAATCAGTGGTGATGAAGATGGTAGTACTAACCACCTTATTCCCTTCCATGAATGTAACTTTCTATGATTTCAGGCTGACGTTTCGTTCTGTCTAGAGTCTGTCCAGCGGCAGCTGGAGTCAAGCAATGTTTACGTCAACTTCTGACAGCTTCCAGAAGAAAACAACACATTATATGACATTACAATTCCACCCCAACATACATGTCTATGAAGAAAGCAGAGAAATATGACCAATTCATATCAAATGTACATCATTCTTGATTACGGTGGATGTAAATCGTTCACTACAAGCATATTCGTACCTCCTGAATTTGGAAAGAACGCAACTGCTTCCCCACCATCAGACTTAATATTTGAAACCATCAGACGAACATATAACTAACAAAAGCAGGATGCGGTAAATCAAACTAATCATATATACTTACACACCTTTAGAACACTATATGTTTATACTGTAGGGAACCGATTTCAAACTGTGTGAGAAATATTACTGGAACATATTTC